CAGAGAGAGGCTTTCCAACTAGGACAGCATTGGTGGCGCTAGCCACCAGGTCCAGCCCTGAGCATCCTGCAACATGGCTAATGAAGTTTGTGGAAAAGACGGCGGCAGCTTCCCTGGACAATGAGCCTTGCCTCCAGGACCAAGTCCCTGAGGCACAACAATCATCCAGGATTCTGACACACCCACAGTCTGCCACTGCGCTTGTCAACGTCTAGCAAGCCAGGGGCTCCAGGCATGGGAGGTCAATTACTGAGTAATCTTATATACAGCAATACCTTGGTTTGCAAGCATAATTCGTTCCGGAAACAAACTCCTCATATTGCAAAACATCGCTCGTTTACCACATTAGAATGTGTTAGAACTGTTTGCTCGTCTTATGGAAGACTCACAAAGCACATTACTTGCACTCCAAGGTTTTACTGTATCTCCAATAAGAAGCCACTTATCACCAGCGAAGATCCAGTAAAGAAGATGAAACTGAACTGTTTCTCTCATCAGGAGGCCTTTCTTTGGAAGTTCCCTGGCTTCCTGCAGAGATGTTAGGGGCTCTAGAGCTACTGATGAAATGTTGAGAACTCACCACTTGGAAGCAGAAATTCTTACTGTTCCTGCAGTTTGTTGAAAGTACTGTCTATAATGGAAATGCATTGGCCCTCACTTCAGCACCCACTGTGGGGGCTTCTTCGGCTTGTTAAGGCATGAGTGAGAAAGGCGTTGTGCCCCCCGCACTCTAGCTCTCCCTCGAGAAGGAGAGGGTACTGTGGTTATTTGAGAGCAGCCCCTGGGGGGACATGGTGAGGACTGACAAGTGCTTGCGGTGGGCTGCGCAGCTATCGGTGCATGGATGGCACTGCCAAGGGGCCAGGTGATGCCATGCTCTTGGCGGCCGGGCCTCGGCTCCAGTAACGGCTCTGTGTGCCCTGGCTGTGCAGACACCTGACCTGCCAGGGCCAGGGTTTCCTGATTTTGAAGATGGAGTTTCTAAAACTGAGTCAACAGAGTCATGGGGGAAGTAAGCGAGACAGTCCAGGTCTGCCGCTTTGGGGAAGAATGGAGTTATCTGAGCCCAGCCTCAGGCATATAATAACCTTCCAAGTGGAGACACGCGGTGGGTAGTGTTTAGACCATGTTCCGATGCCGAAAATGGGAGGCACCATGCGTTTCTGCTTCTCTGTTTTGCTTTTGGCCCTGCAGGGTGGGTGCAGAACACGGGGGTCCTGGAGCTGGACTCTTTGGAGCACCCTGCAAAGGGCTGTGGGAGGGAACGGGCCCTGCTTTGTTCTTTGAGCTAGCACTGTTGAGGAAGCAAATGAATGAGAGCCATAAAATAGAGCAAAACAGCTGAGCCTAGTTGGAGGAAGCATTTCAAAGGAAACAATCCTGGATTTAGATCATACATTTTGGAGCCTGGAGTGAGTTTTTCATAACCTCCCTCTGAAAGCAGGTATTTGTAATGAAAATACTGACAGTCCTGTGCCTGGACCATCTGAAGGCAGCGTGTGTGATCTACAGAGGTGAGGCCTGCTGTGCTATCACTGCTTACATTCAGCAGAGCTTTATATATATATATTTTTTTCCAACTCATCAAGATACTACCAGCTGTAAACCATAGTAGTACATGCTGAGTGAGAACCTGGTGTTTTCCTCCACTGGCACAGGGCTGAGGGACTCCCCTAATCCAGGACTGTGGCCAGACTCCACCATGCGGTGGCATGGCCCTTCCTGGTCCAGCCCCCACCTGGCCGCAGCCCACGTTCTGGGCTCAGCCAAGGGCATGGGCGTGGCTCCTGCATCGGTGACCTGCAGATCCACAGCTGGCTGCAGCTTGCCTCTACCTGCCTGCAAGGATCTCCAGCCTTCGTGGATTTCCTTGCCCACGTCCTTTCCCTGCTCCCGTGGGAACCCTGCGCATCCTTCCAGACCCTGCTCAGTCCATTCCCTAAGGAAGGCTTCAAACTGCTCCCCACAGTGGCCTCTGTTGACTCACCCCTTGTCTAAACCGGCATCTCTGGCTGTGCCTCACCCTCAGCACTAAACTCTGTGCATTGCACGGTCTTTGCTTTGGCTTCCCTTTACCCCTCTCTGTCTCCATCTGGCTTGCAGGTGTGTTGGTGTTCCAGCAGGGCTCTGTGTTATGTCTTCTTCTCTGACCTCTGGGGTAGGGGCTGACCTTGGCAGTGAGTGCTGAGGGAGGTGGCCATGCACTCCAGGGAGGCAGTCAGGGGCTGACCTGGAACACCTACCTGACCTGCTGTGCTCCGCCAGCAGCCAGAGGCCTCGCCATCTGAAGTCCCTTGGGCCTGGGAAGAGGCCTCAGTGCAGGGAAAGCTGCGTCCTGCCAGAGTATGGGAGGCAGGGGAGCATGTAGGATGCGGTTTATATGCTCAGCACTCCCTCGCTGAGCATTTCCCAGAGCAGCACAGCTTGGCCACAGTGTGAAGAAGAGAGATTAGTCTTTGGTGTGCTCTACTCCTCTTTCACTGCCCCTCACCCCTACCCTCGTGGTCCCTCCCCTGGACACTCCATGCCATTGTCCCACTCTGGCAGAAAAAAATGTGGATGGACCGTCCTGACCAAGCCGAGTCCTGTCCCATGCTCTAAACAGGAGACCGACTCCAGGACCACTTCTGATCCCGTGGCACTTATATGGAGTCCTGCTTGGGGATGGCCCGAGGTGGCTGGCTCTGCCTGGACACCCTGAAACTCTAGGTCTCTGGGCTTAAGGCCTCTTGGCCAGCTCAGCCCTGCTAATCCCTGGCATTGTGGTGGGAATATTATCTCTGCCTCCTGTGCACAGTCATCATCCAAACTCCCTCCCCCACATTATGGTAGGACTAAGGGGATGCTCTGCTGAAGGGCATCTGGAATCCAGGTAGGCGGCAGGGTGCATTCAACCTCAGCACTGAGATAGTGCATTTCTCTTTCTGCTTCTCCTGTTTACTTTGCTACTTTTATTATCCTGTGCCTAAGGCAACATACAGGAACCCACCCATTACCGCAGCAGTTAGTACAGGTCTGGTCTGCCGGGTGGCAGCTAGCGACCTGAGAGCTCACTTTGTAGGCCTCTCAGGGAAAGGCACACCTGCGCCTCCCTTTGATCACGCAGGAAAGCCATGAACGAGGCCCAGATCTTGATGTAAATTTTAGGAAAACAGGTGCTTTTTCAGAGCGGAGGGGCCTTTCCATCTTTGAACCGATTGAAAAGAAATAGAATGGGGCTGGGAACGTCTCTGTCCACCTGCAAGAACCCAGCTTGCCGGCTTCTGGCTGTTTTCACTTGTTCCGGGTCAGGTGATGGAGAGCCTCAGGCCTCTCCATCAACTGCCTTCAGAGAGCAGAGCCAGAGCCTGCGGTGACTCTTGTCAGGTCGTTTCCCCCTAGGGACCACACAGAGCTGATGTCCGCAGGCTAGACATTTGGGAAGGTGGTGTCCGGAAAGGGAAAAGGAGAGGGCAGGGACGGCGCCTCAGACAGCCTTGGGAATCCAGCGGGCGCTGCTGGGCTGTGCTCTGGACTGCGGTTGGGTCTGGCTGCGCGCTGGCTCTGTCAAGAAGCCGGGCTGGGGCGCCCACACCCGCTAGTGTAGGTGTTACGGTAGCTGCTGCTGCCCAGTCATGCGGCACAGAGGCCTGTGCCAGGCCTCCTCCGAGCCCATGACACCCACACCCTTTTTGCCAGGTGAGGGGAAAATGAAAAGCAAGAGCCCGAGTTCCCTCATGTTTAACTCCATGCTCCCCGGGGAGGTCCCCAGAGGGCCCGCTGACATGGACTCAGTTTCTTCTGCTACTTCTGAAAAGATGAGGCAGAAAGAATGGAATTTTAAAGGCATTTGTCTAGCATAATGGCATTTGTTTAACCCATCTTGTGGAGATGGTCCCAAGCTGATCTCACATCCCATTTTCTTCCTGACCACACTGAGCACAGAAACTAGCTCCCTCTGCTTCATTCTTTCAGTTGCTCTAAGTCCCACATTTAGACATAAACCGAGGTTGAGCCAAGTGCAGCCTCAGAGGGAAGGGGCTCCATCATACACCTTGAATGAGAAACTTGCTCCAGGTGTAGGAGTTAGGGGGACACTATGGCTCCTAGACGGTGAACTGACCCTTCATGTAACTTGAGGCTCTGGTGGACCCGCCACTGGAGAACAGGGCATCTCTGCTCCCACAGTCCCTACAGCCTCCAGGCACCACCAGCACAGCTAGGACAGAAGGCTGTGTTAGCCACCAGAGGACAGATGCTCAGTTGCCTCAGGCTGTCATGGACTTGAGCCCTGATAAGCGCCACCAGGATCAAACTCTTCCCTGTAAAAGCACCTGCTATTTTGTGGAGCAGGTTGTGGGAGAGGGAAGGGGTCCTATCCTGCATCCTTGCTGAATTGCTGGCAGTAATGCAGTATAAACTCCTCATGGACTGGGGTCAGATCGGCTCTGGGTCTTGACTGAAAAGAACATCTAGGGCTCCCACGCTCACCCAGCCAGACTTTCCTGCCACCTGCAGTCACCAGTGATTGGAAAGTGCATCTGGTCACATGCCTTGAATTCTCCTACCAAAGTGACTGGGTTGTGCAAGCAGGCCAGGAACCTGTTGTCATGGTGAATATCAGGTGATGGCTGTGCGTTCCTTGCCCTCTCTCTGTGGCCCCTCACTCTCTCTCTCTCTGTGGTCCCTCATTCTCTGCAAGTCTGCACTTTGCACCCCACAAATGGTCAGCCCAAGAAAGCATTGGGGCTCCATTGGGGCACACGTGGTAGCAGCCCTTGGAAAACACAGCTGACCCAGAAACCATTTCAATAAAATCTGCAGATGTCACTCCAGCCTTTGTTGTGTTTTTTTTTTTTTTACTGCATCATTCATACTGGATGCCCTGTTAGAAAGATCTGACCAATTTGAACACATTGTCAGCTTTTGTATGAGAATGCAGGCTGGGCGAGCTCAGAGAGCTGGATGTAGCATGTGATCATTCTTTAATGAAGCCCCCCCTCTCCCCCTTTCTCACGTAGCTCAACGACTCTGCCAAGCAGCTCATTGAGATGGACAAGCCCTGCCCAACTGCTGTGTCTGGCTGCCACGCCTTGTTGCCCTCCGACTCTGGTGCAGTGGCCAGTGTGGCCCCGGGTCCCACTTTAAGCAGCACAGGGGCAGTCAGTGCCTTTCAGCAGCGTGTGGACGGCAAGAAGAATGCCAAGAAACGCCACTCCTTCACGGCGCTCAGCGTGACACACAGGTCCTCGCAGGCCGCCAGCCACAGGCATTCCATGGAAATTAGTGCTCCCGTTCTGATCAGCTCCAGTGATCCCCGAGCCGCGGCCAGGATCGGGGACCTGGCTCATCTGTCCTGCAGCGCTCCCGCCCAGGTAACGTCCTCGGGGCGCGGACAGGGAGGCACTGGGCATCCCTCCCTGGGTCTGGGGGCTCCATCCTCAGCTCCGAGCTCAGCATCCTGTCCCCTGAACTACATGAAGGAGGCCAAGGCAGCACACCCTCTGGGGTGAAATATTGGGTTGTCGGAAAAGTCATGACGTACTTTTTTCTATGTTTTTCGTTGCAAAAGTGCGTCATGACTTTTCTGACAACCCAGTATTTCCCTTCTCACTGCCTGGCCCCAGGGACCCCCACCCCCACCCCTGCCAAGCCTTGGTAGGTATGTGTACCTGTCACTACTAGAGTAAAGATGTGACTGAGACTCTCAATGTTCAGTGAGGGGCTTTTAATGGTCCACAACACAGCCTTTGAATAATTGGCTCACCGTGCAAGAAAGCTATCCTGTCTTAGTTTGCCTTCAGCCTACTTGTGTCATGGAGAATGTCTTGGTTTAGTGTTAGGATGTTTTTAACATCTCTATCACCCTTGCCAACTCCTTTCCCTTTCAACAAAGAGTGAAAGGGCCAGAGCTCAGAACCAGAATTGATTACATTGTTTAGTACTTTTATTCTTTTTACAAATACCTTCTGTTTCTGGGCGTGGCACTGGTTCCACTTCCACTAGTAAGGTGAAGGACGGAGGAGGAGATGAGGGGAAGGTGGGGAGAGATAGGGAGAGGAGGGACCTTATTCCCAATCAGCCAGCCAGGGCCGCCAGGGTATCTGGTCTCTGCATCCTGTCATTCGTGGGTACTAAGTCCAAGGCTCACCACCCTCAGTGTTCATGGGGGGTTCCAAAACTCAGCAAGCAGGGCCCAGGGACATTAGCAGAGCTCTCTGGCACTTTCCTCCTGCCCTGGGAAGTGGGTTCCACAGGCACGGGTGCAGGATCCGGTTTGGTGTTCTCTCCACCTCTCTGTCCTCCTCACCTCTCAGCCTCTGAGTTTCTATAGCAGAGAGAGTGTTCCTGGCTCTGCAGTCTGGCTCTGCTGTAGACAGCCCCCAGAGCAGGGAGGAAACAGCTGTTTTAAACATGTGTGCCCCACTTTGTTCCACAAAGACTTAAGTGCTGGATTAGCTTATGTTAGAGATGACTGGATTCCTGGGACCCATTTTTCATCCATGTGACTTGATGGAAAGTTGTGGCCAGGCTCTGGACTTTAATGCATGTCGTTGCAAAGGGCAAGAGGTCAAGCAAAGCAGTTTCCACCTGCCTGCCCATCCCAATGTAGCAACTCCTGGGAGACGTAAGGGGTGATGCTGAGCAGCTGGGAGTTAAGCATGAGCTACCACATGCTGTGTCCTGCAGGCCCCAGCATGCTGTCTGTGGTCGGGCTGCACCAGAGACCAGTCCCTCAGCTCTGGCTGTGGTCCAATGCTGCCTTTCTGGTTCTGTGTCACTTTGCTGGCCTCACGTGTCACAGTGGGATGTCCATCCCCTGGCTGGACGTGCTCTGGGAGGGGGACCCAGTCTCAGAGTTTTGTGCTTGGGGGCACAGAGCAGTAGGAGGGGGGCAAACGTGGGCTTTGTGGTCATGCATCTGGAGAAATACAGCACCATTTCAGACATGCCTTCATCCGCAAGCAGAGGTGCCATGTTCCAGCCCGGCATCATGGGGACAGGCTCCGGGCTGGCAAAGCAGGAGCACCCACGCTCCTCGGTGCCCAGGGGGCATGGGTCACTGCTGGCCACTGCGAGTGTCCAGCCAGCCCCCTGTCATCCCCAGACCCCTCAAGACTTGGTGTGTTCATCCAAGCTGTGACACAGAATGTCTTCAATGACAGGAACATTTTTTTTTTTTTGCCCCTGTGAGATGACAAGGCTGGTCACCTAGAACCCAGGGCAGCTCCGTCTACTGGTGTGCACCCCCTTGCCTGCACATCCAGGGCTTCTTGGACCATGAGGGGCAGAGGTTTTGTAAGACCTTGGGTCACGGGTCCGGCCACGTTTTCTTCTGGAGAGCAAGGGCGACTGTCATTGATAATTATCGAGCTCTCAGTGAACATTGCACAGTATTCTGTACAAATTTCTGAGCCACTGGCCTGTTGCCCTGGAAGAGCTTCCAGCTGGAGTGGAGAAGGGGTGGCTGGGCTGGGCCATGCCTGTGTCCCCGCTCTCCAGCCAGGTTGGTGTGTGAGGCCTCAGAGAAGCGGCTCCAGCTGAGTCCATCTGTTAGACAGGCTCCGATGTCACCCCCTTGTGTGATGGTGACCACAGATCAGAGAGGGCCATCCAACATGAGATGATCCTGCTGCCATTTAACTGACTTGATTCTGAAACCCTGTGGAGGAACACGAACCAAATAAGAATCAAATACACCCACACTCATGGCCACACACACAGAGCATTGGTGTGGCCGAGCCATGCCCTGAGTGAGCTGCGTGGACAAGGGAGCCCCTCGGTGGCTGAGTTAGGGCTCGTCAACATCACTGGTTCTTCTAGCCGGCTTTTGTGTTCCTATAAAATGGAAAGGAAGTGCGGGGGTTGTGGTTTCTATAGAAATGGCTCTAAGATACAGTAGTCCTGACAAAATGCAGTGAGCACTGTTCAGCCTGAAGGCTGGAGTCGTAGCAGCAACCTGAAGGCCTCTGGGGTGCAGGGCTGCCCAGAGCCCTGTCTGTGGTCTGCACCCCCTGCCCCTGCCAGCTGCTCCACCCTCGTCTCCTCCTCCCACCCCTGCTGACCTCCCCTCCCCTGCCTGGGCTTCTTGGCCCATCTCAGCTTCCTCTGCTGTGTGGCACACCTCATCATTGGGAGAACCAGCAGGCTGAATTATTTTCATTCATAGATGAGGACACTGAGGCCCGCAGGGTATAAATCACATCTCAGGGCTGCGCTCACCCAGCAGCCCTCCCTGCCCCCTGCCTCCTGTCAGGAGTGGTGTGGATAGGAGTCCAGGGCCTGGGCATCACTTAACCCTTAAGCTTCCTCTTCTGTAAAATGCTCAGGGCTGACCTCAAGCCAAAGGAGAGGGAGCAGGAAAACGCCTGCTGGTCCCTGCAGCGAGCTGCCGGAGCTCTGTGAAGGCGCATCTGCCTCCTCCTTCTCTTTCTCTTCTAGCCTGGGACCTGGCACAGTGCAGTGTAGGTCAGAGAGTCTCCTGCCCACTTGCTGTGTCACCCTAGGAGAGTTGCCAAGCCTCTCTGAGCCTGTAGAGCTGCCATTAACAGCTGAGTTCAACACTGTCCTTGCCCCTTATGACCCAGAAAAGCTGCCCAATCTCTTCTCCCAGAGCCTCAGTTTTCTCATCTGTTAAATGGAGCTATATTGGTGCCTCCCCAGCTGACTTGCTGTCAGGGTCAAGTGAGAGGACAAAGGGTGGCCTGTCCTCAGGTGTGCACGTTAGTGTTGTCTGTGGTGGTTCTTTCTGCTGCTCAGAGAATCAGGGGATGAGTCACAAGCTCTAAGATGTCCGCTATGACACTCAGGGCTCTGGGTGCCTCTCTGTTCTAGTCACTGCTCTCTGCTCCGAGATTCCCTCTGCTATGGCACCAAGCTGAAGGTTCCAGCAGGCTGGTGGTGGATAAGGGATGGTGGGGAGCAGAGACTGCCTGCAGTCGCAGCTCCTGTCACAGAAGCCTGGGCTCAGTTAGCGTGCTTGTGGATCAGTGTTCACTCCTGACTGTCGGCCCTTGCTGGTCTGTCACCAATGACAGGCCGTGTGTGGTTCAGTGCCCTTGGCCTCGTGCATCTACCGCCAGAGAAATCTGAGGACCCCACCTGGAATACTCTGTGGTAGGTTTCAGCTTTGGCTGCCCATCACTATCACTGGGAGGACTGAACAAATGTGGCTACCTGGTCCCCCCAGCACAGCCCCGGCCCCATTCACTTCACCCTGACAGCATCTTAGCTGGGGAAGCACTGCTGTTGCTTCATTTAACCGATGAGGAAACTGAGGCTTTGGGATATGATATTAGACAGCTTTTCCAGTCCCGAAGTGATTGGCCTGGGGTGTGATCTGGGTCTGGGATCTTAGAGTCCCCTGCCGCCCCTCTGTGAGTGGTGCAGCCAGCTCGACACCCACCAGCCTGTCTCAGAGACAGCGCATCCCATCTCTCATGGTCCAGGCTGTGCCACAGGTTCTGCCTGACCCCAGGCCTAAGTCTGCAGAGGGTGACCCATATCCTGGTACCCCCAGGACTGGGGTTCTCTGGGCCCCAGGACTTCAGCACTAAAATTGGGCGCAGCAGGACAGCTGGTCACCCTAGAATATTTCCCTTCACTGGGCTCCAAAGGGATTTGACTGGAGGATTTCAACAGACATGTAACATGGTGTTCTCGGTACAGGGCCTGTGTTTGGTACCAGAGATCCCAAAGCAAGGAAGGGCTTGTCCCTGTGCCTGAGGGCAACAGTGTAGGGGATGTAAACCAGGGCCGGGAGGCATTGCTGCAGGCCAGCCATGACCCTGGCTGCCTAGACTCCTGTGTGGTGTGTGCCACGCCACCTGATGAGACCTTTCCAACATCCCAATCCCAGGGTTCATCCCATCAATAAAACCAAGTCCGAGAGGGAGGGAGGAAGAGAGGGTGTGATGTATTTGCTAGGCCCGTGTGCAGGGATTCTGTATAACAAACAGCAAACAGCGAGGCCGGGGAGCTGCTCCCAGTCCAGCCGGGTTCAGGCCTGCTTCACAGGCCTCATGCTGATGCCCAGGCCAGAGGCCCAGTGGTTCCCTGGGACTTGGGAAACTTGCCTTGCTCCTCAAGGCCTAGACTTGGGGCCAGCTTGCTGCGCCAGCAGTGGGCCGGGGACCCGCACTCATGGTGAGGAGGGGAAGGGACAGAGTAGTGCTCAGGGACGATATTCAGAGCTCCCCAGCTGACGCTGCTGTCAGGACACCGCGCCACGCCTGGGGTGGGGAAACTATGGCCTGTGGGGCTGTTTTTGTAAAGCTCTTGCACTAAGAATGACTTTTGTATTTTTTAAAGGATGTTTTTTAAAAAAATGAAAGAGAAGAGGATGAGTAGGGGTAGAGGAAGAAGTAAAGGGAAA